CGTAGAGTCTGACTTAAGTCAGTTTTTTTGGTAGTTTTGCTGATTGGGACTCAAAGTTCTGCAAATGGTCTTCCCCTTGCTTGAAGCACCTTGAGAAAGAAGTTGAAGGAAGAGGGGAAGTTGTGTCCTGAAAAATGGTGGCAGAAGAATCTGAGGGTTAGAATAGACATCTGCCTATTAACTAAGAAAACTAGGTTTTCATACTTCAGTGTGTCTTTTGAATGTTTCTCACTGCTTCTACAGTTCCTATTCCAGCTCCCCCAGTAATTCTCTCATCTCACTCTCTCCTGCAGTGATATGAAGAAAACCTCTGACAGTCAGTAAAGTAGGTACTGCAGTTGGAGTAGAGATCCTTGGGCTGTATACATGGGAACCACAGATGAGAAGTGGAGACTCTTTAACCAAAGCTCTGAACCAGTATGCAAGGGGATGTACCTGCAGGCACATGAAGGGGCTGTGAGCTGGGTGTGCTAGAGCTAGTCCTTTGCAACAGTTTTGTGCCTGGACTTCCTCATGTGAAGAATGTAAAATTTGGGCTAGATGCTATCTAAGATCCCTTCTAGCTCTAAAAGGCAACAATTACAAATCAGGGGTTAGTCCAATCTTGTTTGGAGGGTAGATGTGGGAGGGTTTGGGATGGATGTGATGGGTTGAAGTCACGGACTGGCCTGGTCTAAGGCATTTAATAGACTGTAAACTCACTGAAAGCATGGACTGTGGCTTAACTCCTACTTATCTCTGCTATTTATGAGATCATCTAAATGGTAAACAAATTATTTTACTTTTGAGTAGTATCCCCATCCATCAAGGGGGTTGACAGCATCTATTACACAGGATTCAATTTTTGTTTTGACCCCCTGCCCCAGGTGTTTGGTAAATTTTTATTGAGTACAAACATTGGAATTCTAGTTACAAAACTATGTGTTCTAGTGATAATAAAAGGCCCTTTGCTTTCCCCTTTATGTTACAATTTTTTAAAGTGTTGCTGTAGTTTGCAATAACTGTAGTATCCACACTGGAAGGGGCTCTCCATCTCTTCTAGTTCTATTTCATATCTTCAGGCACATTCATTTTATAGATGAGAAAACTAAGGTACATAAAAGGGCAGAGGGTTGCCCGGTATCATATAGTGAATCAGCAGGCCAGAATATACACTATATGATCATGATTAAGTCACATATAAGACTCCTGCCTCCAGGCTCTTTTTAATCCACTAGGTGACCTTTTACCCCTGACCTCTGTGCCATTCTAATTTTGGAAAATCTATGATGATGATAACTACTGTATCATGAGCTGAGTGGTCAATGAAACCAGGTAGCATGGCTGTTAGGTTACTCTCTGTAGATCCAAGAGAAGAGAAACTAAGCAATGGTCAGATGGGACTCTTCTGGTGGCAGACCCTGACTTCCACACACAACCCACAAACATTCATGTTCTCTCTCTTAGACACACACAAACAAATACACATCCTAAGAAGCTCTTGTTTTCTTCTCCTCTCCATCAAGCATTGCTCTCCATAAAAGTCTGAGAAATACATCTATTGTGAGGTAATGATAAACATGGCTCAATGTAAGATCCCTCTCAGGGGTTCTGGAATTTTAGCAGGGATCAAAGCCACAGCAATAAGCCCACCAGATGGATCATATACATTTTTACTGAATCCCCAAACTGGACTAGTAAAGAGGCACTGTGATAACTCCTATTATATGTGAGGACACTGAGATTATTCCAATTATTCCTTAACACATCTGTCACACTTCATTGATGGCCTGTATCTCAAGCCTAGAGTTCAATATAGGATCTCATTAAGTATTCACACTGAGAGGAGATGGGAGGGGGCTTTGCTTGAACTTTTGTAAACCCTAAAGAAGGCTGGATCAGATTTTATGTTGGTGGTCAAGAACGATATTGGCCCTGAAAACCCCTGAGGATGTGAACATGCCCAGCTTAATCTGAAGCTTGGCAAGAACTGGGCTGTGAAGCCTCCACTCATTTTATGCTCCCACGAAGATGAGAATGAGGGTGAACAGCTGGGTTTTGTGTAGCTTTCTCCTGACAAACTCAGGTTTTTTGATGAGATGTTGTAATGGGCAGCCAGTGTCCATCTGTGCTTGCTAGCACAGACCCTTTGATATTTTGGTGGTCCCAGGTCAAATTATGCTAAAGGCCAAAGCAGGACACATTTATAACCCCTGTGCAACGATTTTTAAAAATATATGAAAATCAAAGTAGCATTAAAAAGTCACTGGGCATGATACCAACTCGACTTCAATAAAGACAGCCAATAAAAAGAGCTAATTAAAAGAACTCTGATGGCATTCATCTGAAATTTTAGATTGTTTTATGTTTTAACAAATTAACAATGGTGATAAGAGGACATTAGCAGCTTTTCTTGGGTCTCTTTGTTAACAATAACTTGAGCCTGCAGCCACAACAGGGGCTGTGGCCAAGTTTTAGCTGGCAGGCCAGCAAGGCAGTATTTTACACAATGGATGACATTTCTGAAAGCAGAGACAGAGACAAACCCAGAGTCACACATGTATTCCAACAAACAAGTTTCTGCCATTTTTAATTGTATTTAGAGCAACAAAAGATTCCAAGATTACAAAAAGAGAATAGAACACTAGCGCTTGGGGCTGGTTCTGCTGCCCAGTGGAGGCCAAGTATCGTTGTGAGAACTGAAGCCCCGTCGAAAGACATTTCAAGCAAAATGAATGTTTCTTAAAAAAAAAAAAAACAACTTTATATGATGTTTTCTTTAAAATTTTTCCCTCAGCATAAAGTAAATTCTTACATCTGGTTACATAGTCTGCTCTCTTCTGCTGCTAAATTAATCTTGAGGACAGCCCAAGAAAGTCATGTCTGAGGCACTCCCTAATCAATACTCCAGTCTAGGGAAAAGCAGAAAGGTGTCAATGAGTGGTGGGAGAAAGTATTTTTGTAGCTTGGATCATCCCAATGGTGGGTACTCTCAGCACCTGAGTGACTTATGGGATTGAACAACCCCACAGGCACATCACTGTAGGACAACACCAAGGGCTAAAGCTGGGAGAGACTGCAGGCTTGGTTTATCTACTGTGCAAGAAACAGAGTTCCAAAATGTGAAGCATTAGCCCAGGAGGGCACCAGCAGAGAAGCAGTATCGTTCCAGAATTCCCTTACCTTTGGGATTGGGTGTGAGTTCCAGTATTGGTGGCCAATGGAATCTGTAGCTATGTGACAGCCTTTTAAAGTAATGCATGTGCAAACTGTTTTAAACCACAAGGGCTACTTAGACCATAGCTTCTCATTTAATTCCATAAAAAGCTAAGAGAAAAGTGGGATAAAGAAAGGAACCAATACTCTTGCTCAACTGAATTGAGGTTGGAAACCAATCAATGTGTATCATTTATTTTATGGCCAAATCTAATGGGGAAAAATCAAAGATGAGTCAAAGGCTACTTTTCCCTTTAAAACACTGCTGCTGCTGCTGCTAAGTTGCTTCAGTCGTGTCCAACTCTGTGCGATCCCATAGACGGCAGCCCACCAGGCTCCTCTGTTCCTGGGATTCTCCAGGCAAGAATACTGGAGTGGGTTGCCATTTCCTTCTCCATTTAAAATGCTCCCTGTTAAATTAAAATATTTACCACTTATTTTTGGAATGGGAACATTCTGAATGGTTTGTTACCTCAGCTGAAGTGTTTTTAGAGGAGTGACTAATTGTGGATTTTTCTGCCTTCACCTAGAAAAGGTTAAGGATTGGGAGGCTCTGGGCAACAGACCCTAGTGTCAATCTCTTAATTGAAGAAAAACATCCCTACCTGTGGGCAGAGATGGACCTGTATCTACAGATACACTACTTCTAGTACACTGATAATTTTTTTTAACAAATAGAAACACATTTTCATTGTGAAAATCTTTACAGAACATATCCAAAATCAAAATTAGAGCACATAGACACCCAGTAGCAAGAGCACCTCAATCGCAGGTGAGTGAATTGTTTGAAATGGAGCACTTGCTCCAGGTTCCCAAGTGCAGGAAACTGCCCTTTTCTCACTGGGATGATGAAGAACAAAGAATACCGTTTCTTCTTCCAGCTGCACAGGTCCCATTAGGGGGCCACTGGCTAATCGTTTGGGTGGGCCTTTGGCCCCAAGTATGGGCCTTCCATATGGTAAATCCCAGTCCGTTTCAATGGAACTTCACCACCCTTTACACATTCATCTGTCTTGGGCTAGTAAAGTGCAACACATCATGTACCCTACCCTTTTCCCTTCTCTGCTCCTTTGCAAGGCCTTTGAGTCAGGCCTCAATAGGAACAGAGATCCCTTGGTTATCTGATCAACTCAGGTGTCTTTTCCGTTCTGAGAGAGCTTCTAAAATGTAGCTGTGGCCTCTCTTACAAGTACATGGTATCAGCTATGACCTGGAACCAAATATAAAGGCGCAGAGAGACGTAAATTTCAATTTTGAAACATGGATACAAATACTCATTTACAATATATTTCAACCTTCTGCCTTAAAATGAAGAGAAATTTTTTGTGCCATTCAAAGTGGGCAGAAATGAGGATTTCCGCCTGCTGTCCCTCTAGTGCAAAATCTAATCCTTTAAACGTTCCCTTCTCAGCAAGGGCTTCATATCTTCAGATAAGCTAACATCAGAACTAGCAAACACAGTGGCCAAGACAGCTCCATTTCCAACCATTCAATGATGGAGCTTTAAGAATTTGCTCAGCAACTACTACATAAAAGGAAGGCTAGTTCTGTTTATAAAAATCACTTACTGAAAGACCCAGAATCCCATTATTTTTCAAAATTATCTTCTACTGTTCTAAACATGTATATTGTGGAGAGGAAAACCCCACAAAACTCTTATAAGTCAGTCACCAGCAAAGTCCTTTAGTCTGTTTTTGGATAGGTTACCAAAGAGGCACTAATGTTTGCTCCCTCCCTGCCCTTAAAAATTTTGGTAAATTAGCAGATACAATGTAATCTTTGGTTACATAATGTGATGCACTGTCTTTTTTTTTTTTTTTTGGTCTCTTTATTTTTTTTTAAACTGCTTTCACAGATTTTCAAAGAGATTAGTGGTGAGAACAGACCCGCCTATAAAAGGCAGCAAGGGTAGAAACTTCCTTTTATAAGATATTGCATATGATAAATGGCTTATTTTGACTTTAAGTTTTGGATTGGATCTTGTGTTTTAGCATTCCTGATTCTCATGACCCCCTACATATAGTTGAGCATGAAGGTCACACCCTTGGGCCCAGTGTCCTCTCACCTGGGCAACTGGCATAAAATAACTAATATTCAACCTCTTGTCTTCCCAGGGCCATGTAGGAGCCATGTAGGGATAGTTACTAAGCTGTCTGAAGAGAGTCTCATGAAGTACAACCCTAGCACAAGACTGAGAGGGAGCAGAGGGAGTGGCTTGTACTTTTGAGTCATGCCCAGTATCAAGAAAGAAAATAGGACAAGGCCATGTCTGTGCTGTGCCTAATGAAACACTCAGAAGCTACTTGATGCTTAACATAAGATCATTTATGTAGTATCAATATCATGTGGATGGTGGACCTATTTTCTCTTGAAGTACAAATAGAATATTTCTGGCTATATATGCATATATGTATATAGAAGTAGAGTATGAACAGAGAGGAATTCTAGCATCAGCGCATTATTTCTCAACCTGGAAAATCACTTCAGCAACTACCCAAAGGACAGAGTGAAACTCCTTCCCCCCACCTTTTTTACTGCCAGTTAACATATATAAAAATATATGTATTACTGATTCTTTTTTTCAAAGATATATGACAGAATCCTTCAAAAAACTCCTTTCTTGTTAAAAAAATAATGAACTCTCCAAGAACAAAGATACTGTCTGTGGCATAGAAAAGCTATGGAACAAAGTACCCAACCCCCATTTCAACTCAGAGGCCAGGCCTGGGCAAGCTGCCCAATGAGCAAGAGCTGAAACTGCCACACGACTCTTTTCCTTGACCACAGAATTTATGAACCTGGCAGCTGTCTGCTGCCCAGCACAGATGGGACTTTCTCCCTGGTGCTCCTTCTTTTTCTCTTCCTCACTCTCCATCCCCATTGAGCACTGCAAACCTTTTTGGGGATAGTCTCCATGGCTTGTCTGGTGAGTGACCCTCATCTTTAAGCTCACCAGGTGAATGGGTGTGGGTGGCCAATCCTTCAAAGGTGAGCACAGTGTACCAACCATATCAACTCTGCTTGTAGAGCAGAGTGCATGCAAAATGAGACTTCTGTCAATTATGCTGGCTGGAACAACAATGGCCAAAAGAAAAAAAAAAATCCCCCTTTTATCTGTGGGAGACAAAGCTAAGCTAAAAATCTCTTCTGCTCACTGAAACCCCAGTGCAAAAACAGTACACCTAAATCTTTGTTTAGGCCATTTTCTCCTAGTCTTGCCATTTGGGAGTTTAGAGTAATCTAGTTGTTTCTGTTTTTAATTACACTGCCATTTCTGATTTTTGGCTTTCACAAGTGAAAAACATATACTCATAAAGACAAGAGTCACTATTGGGAAATCTATAAAGATGAAAACCTTGATAGCCAGAGAAATGGAAAGGAGAGCATCTAGTATTTACAAGGAGAGGTATTAGAATGATATACTCAAATCCATGTACCACAAAAGATGAGAATCATTTCAAAACAGATGTAAAGGAACTATTAAAAAGTAACCTAGTTTAAATGAATAGAGTGGTGGATTTTTTTTTTCTCTTTAAAACAGCTAAAAGTGATCCTGTAAGCCTATATAAGCCAAGTGGTGTCATAACAAAGAAAAACAGAATTGTTCTATCCTACCTTATAAAGAGAACCTGTCAGCTTTAGTTTTGTCCAGCAGACTTGGATTGGTATAACAGACATCTTAAGTTCCCCTCTCCCTTGTTATTTAAAGAAGCTGTTTTGCAGGTTCATTTGGCTATTAATATCAGCAGAAATCAGGGGAGGAAACCCATGTAGATCATATCATGTCACTCAGAAACTATCTTCTCAACAACAAGTAGAGTGAACTAGCTGAAATGGGCAGCTTGGTGACTGGCCTCTAATTTGTTGTTTAGCAGATGAATTTAAGAGCTATGTGAAGAGGCAGTGGCCAAGATGAGAAAGTAGGTAGGCATTCCCCAGTACTCGTGACTGGGGGACAAAGTCAACAGAACAAAGGAGTGCCAAAGGACTATACGAAACCAGTGTCCCAGGAGTACACCAAGTTCATAGGTGGCAGCCCATCAGAGTCACACCAACCAGACCTTTCCAAAGGAGGCCATGGTTTGGTAGTTTCACTATTTCAGCTTCCTCTGGCCAAGAGGCAGCAACAAAGGTGGCTGAGTGAGTATGGCCAACATTAGAGCCCAGAATCAGCAGCAGAGAAGGATGGTGAATAAACTCACCAGATGGTGCCCATCTGGCTTTAGACTTTCCTTCTGAAAACTTTTATTAGTTAGTATTCTCTTGATTTCTTCTCTCTTCTTCCCCTGACTTCTGCAGGTAGATATGTTGGGTGGAAAGGAGAGCATTTACAGGATTTCCAGTTCTAGTGCCTTCATTTTTCTCACCTTGGTAACAGAACTTTCTCTTCAACACAGATCTGGGTAGCTCCTTTAGCTGCTCTGAAGGAGGAAGTGGGCATTCTTCACTTGGTGGGAAGGTGTCATCTCTGGGGGACAAGGGCAAGACGCCCAGCTTGTCCAATCCCATTGATGCCTTCTTTCCAGTTTGTTTAAGGTCTCCAGAGTTCTGAGAGTTCAGTTGATGAGAGACATATGGTAAGAAGTCTTTGAGCCTACTGGCATCTAGAGATAGAAATCAAGACTGCTGACTTGCTAGCCTTCTTGGGGATGGGAGTTCTTAGCAGAGTCTGAACGTGCCCAAGGAGTGGACAAGTTTCACCACTGTGGCTGTAATGAAGTCTGGTGAAGCTCAGGCCCACAAAACACAGAAGGGAGGATGGATGATGCTTGCAGCTGCATGGAGTCAGGCAGAAAACATTCAGGTCTCTTAAAGGTAGAGGCAAAGAAGGATCAAATCTTCAGTGTCCTAAGCAGGAGAACAGTCAAGCCACCACTTCCTTTTCCTTTGACTCCAGCCCCAGGCTCCTCCCTGGGCCACAAATGGGAAAGCAGACCTGGATCAGAATGGGGCCTTACAAAAGGTCATATCTCCCTCTCCCTCTTGCTGGTCTGATTCTTCAGTGGAAGTGGCCAAGTTTTGGCTAAAGAGAACATTCAGTTCAAAGCTCTTAGAAAAGATATTGAAAGTCAATTTGAGGGTGGAGGCAGAGGATGTGAGAGAAAAGGGACTGGTGTGGGGAGGCATTCTCAACAGACAGGTTTTCAAACATGAAGCACATTTTTCAGTACCATGAATTGTGCTGCAGTTGAACAGCCTAGCTCTCAGGAGCCAAGGCTGTAGGCAGGTACTGGTAATCCATCTGTCCTTTCTTAAATCTGCCCCCCATCTACCTCAGTTCTGGGGTCACCCTGCCCTCTAATGGCAATAGCCGTTGGCAGAAAATAAAGTCTCCCAGGGAGACAGGGTTTGGGGAAAAAAAGCAGTGACTCCCCATGGGCTTGCAATTTTCACCTTATTCTAGTTACTGTTGGCCTCTTTGGTAATTTGTTTGTTTTAATATTTTTAAGAGGGAAAAACCCTAGTGTGTTTTTTGTTTGTTTGTTTGTCTTTTGTTTTCCCAGATACTCTTAGCTCTCTAAACTTCACGTGGCATTAGGTGAGTAAACGTTTGTGTAGCTGGCACACAGCACAGTGCTATAAACAAGCACAACTTGACACTGTGCCACATGAGGATCATCACAGATTTAAAGAAATACAACAGCATTCAAAACACAGATAAGAGCCACAGCAGGGAGTACAGTCTGAAAGTGCCATGGGAGAGTCAGATAGGGAGAGATAGAAAAGAAAGGAGGAAAAGAGAGAAAAAAAAAAAGCCCAGCAAATAGAATTCAAGAACATCTTCATGACAGACTGTACATAAATAGAGGAAATTCCCCAAGGCACTGCAGAGAAGTAGTGCAGAGTTAAAACAGGCAGAAGATATCTGAAAAAGGAAGTGAGGTGGGGTAAGAAAATGGGGCCTTCCAAAGCTTCACTGAGTGTGAAAATAGATAGGCTTGACTTTCCCGGAAAGGATCTTGGGCACTTGCACAGAGATGATCTCTGCCATCATTTCTGGAAAGTCCACGCTCACCATGTGAGACTTGATTAGCAGGTCAAAAGTGAACTGATGCAGCTCTCGTGCAATCTGCAGGGAGACAATAAGAGAGGGAGAAAACGGTTGACAAGGAGTTGGCTTCTTGTCAGGGTCTCCCCCACAGTCTTTGATTTCCTCCTCCTTCCTTTCATGTCCTTGGGCCTCTGTGAGTGTGTGTATGTGTTTGTGTGCATGAATGCATACACACACACATGTGCATTAAATTGTCTCCAGGGAGTCACTGAGAGCTCCCAAGAGATCTCTTACACCACTGCAAGCTCTCTGACTCAGGACTGGGTGTTCCTTTTCCCCAGCACACACACACACACACACACACACACACACTCTCTCTCTCTCTCTCTCTCTCTCTCTCTCTCTCTCTCTCTCTCACACACACACACACACACACACGTACATGCACATGACTCAAGGAAGAGGGGGAAAACATCCAGGTCTGTTTTGTCTGCCTAAAGAACTTATCTACTCTAAGCCCCTTCTCTGAGTCCCAGTTGCTCTGTTCTCAACTCCTCCACCTCTTTCACAACAACCAGCTGGGACACTGTGACCTGTGTTCCTTTCTTCTTCATTGGATTTTCTTCCTGGACCACACTCAAAGCCAGAGGGGAATGGAAGCACCTCCCAACAGGTGGTGCCAGACCCTAGAAGAGCATATTATCACTTGGCTCTATCAGGCTGCTCTCCCTGACAAAGCACCCTCCATTGTTTGCTTACAGGCTGCACAGAGTCCAGGAGCTTGGTGAGCTGGTAGAAGCGCCTTGAGCAGGATGTGGGATTTTTTCTCTTGCATGCAATGATACGATCAAGTTCCTTGATGTAGTTCATTCGAAGTTCATCAAAGAATTTTTGATTTTTCAGCCCATCCACTGGAACTGATGTGGGATGAAGACAGAATGGGGAGGGGAAGCATGCCCACGAAGGAGCATTAGACAAAGCACCAAGTTTTCTGACCACAAACTTGACCCCCACCCCCACAAGGAGGGAGCCATCGACTTGGCTTCCTGTCACTTCAGGTCTATATGCCTGGGGCCTTCAGGAAGTCTGCCAGGAAGGGCTTAGGGAGAAGGCTAGCTGGTCCCAGTCTGTAGGGTATCAAGTAAATAAAATTTATTGAGCCTTTCCTTTCTCTAGTCTTCATTTCTATACATTTCATGGTTTTAAATTATCCACAGTCCAGCTCTGAATTAGACAATTAAAATATGTGGCCTTGAATATCAAATTTTATCTCCTTTCTCCCCCATAGGGGCTAAGACAGCACTCTGCTTCGAAGAGATATTAAAGAAATATTCCTTGGCTGCCAAATAAGCCTTGTCTGAGTGCTTACATAGACCTTGTCTTTTTGGCAGAAGAAGAAATTCTTTCCAGGAGGCAATCCCTTCTACCCTACAAGAAATATAAGGTAGTCCTTGCCTGTTTCTATGGTAGAAGCTATGGGAAAATTCAGAGACCTGCTAAAACTAGCCAAAAAGGCCTTGTCCCAAAGAAAGATTGTGGGTAGGTGGGGATCTAATAGAGGTTTGATTGTAGCAAAGAAATTGGTCTCTAGCCATGAAATTCATCCTTGTTAGGGAAAAAGATGCTAAGGGAGAGTGGAGGAGGGAGGGTGAAAGAAGGGAAATATTCAGGAGCTGGCTTCTTCTCCCTGATAATCCTTTAGTGAAAAAGCACCTCTCCTCTGATCCCTTATGCCCCCTAGGGGCACTCTCTACCCTTCCAGGCACTTACTAATGCTAAAGAGCAGCAGTGCCTTCATGCACAGGAATTCCTGGGGGGTGATTTGGAGCCATCCAAATTCTTGGGAGAGGTGCCTCATTCGGACACACTGGCTGTACATCCGGGACTTGTGCATGCGGTACCTAGGAATGAAACACACAGAGAAAAGAGAGGGGTAGGGAAGGATTAGAATAAACCCAGAGAGAATGTCTGTGGATTCCCTCCCCTTTCCAGTTTCTCCAAGAAGAGCTTGATGTTTTTCTTGCTGGTGCTTCAGTGACAAGGAACAGGTTGTTCTTTTTTCCCCCAAAATCATGATATCTTGATAACTACTCATCTTCCTTGGCTAGGATATGGGTTAGCACATGGAGTTTCCAGGTCCCCATACACTTCCTGTTTCCTGAGACAGGGAAAGGAAAGCCTAACCAAATGAATACAATGGCACATGGTCTCCCTGACTACAGTTCTAATATTGCAGCTACAGCCAGAGTCAGAGCCTGCCTCCCTGACATTCAAACTTGAAGAATTTCTAAGAGACAGGCCTTAGAAATCAACTCCTGACATAAGGACACCAGGGTTCCCAAGTAGCCACACATGCTATACTAGAAATGAAATTATTTCTTCAAAAACTCCCAGAAAAAGAGATTCCCCATTGCCCCTTTAAATGAGTTCCAATGCTTATCAAATCAGCCACAAAATATTTCTGAATATCCAATCTAAATATCCCCTGCTGAAGGGGAGCCTACTCTTTCATATACTAGCTGTTCCTTACCACAGTTTGGGAGTTATAAAAACGTACGAGCTCTCTTTATTATAATGACTTGTGAACAGATCATCACATTATCACCCATAAATTATATAGGGAAGTAGCCATGGCTTGGGCAGCTTCTCGGGGAGAGCAACATCTCTATTCCATGACTGACCATGACAAGCCTGTAAGAGAAGATACACAGATACACCATTCTTTTGCTAGTAGAACTTCCTGGTCTTCAGCACATCAGAAGTTGTGTGTGTGAGAGAGAGAGAGAGAGAGAGAGAGAGAGAGAGAGAGGCGGGGAGGAGGAGAGAGAGAAATTGATTTTATATCTTATAAAGAAAGGAAAGGGAATTTGACACTCACTTAAGTAGTGAGGAAAAAGACCACTGAGATTGGTCCTGAAGCTTATGGTTTGACATTTTGGTCCCCAAACCACTAGCTTCATTGATAGGCTGAGCAGGTCTGATACTGGCTGGGTGGAAGCTCAGAATCCTATCTCAAATAGATCTTGGCTGGCCTAGAGAAAAAGGGAAAAGAAGGAGCAGATAGTGCAGAAGCATTTAATGCAGGCTGGAGCCCAACTAGAAAAAGGAAGTGTTTAGACAGTGGAAGTGTTAGTTGGTCAGTGGTGTCCAATGACTCTTGCAACACCATGGACTGTAGCCCATCAGACTCCTCTGTCCATGGGATTCTCCAGGCAAGAATACTGGAGTGGGTAGCCATTTCCTTCTCCAGAAGATCTTCCCGACCCAAGGATTGAACCCAGGCCTCCTGCATTGCAGGCAGATTCTTTACCATCTGAGCCACCTTGGGTAGTATCACAAATCATTGACCAGAACAGTGCTGCTCCAAGCTCTTTCTTCTTAGAGAATTTTTGAATAAGATCTGCTGAGTTTGGGGGTATGGCCTTGCTCTTGTCTCTACTGTGCTTCCAAGCCTTTGTTGATGACAACACTGCAGTATTTGTACCACTGAAATTGTGATCCTGACATGGAGGATTGCTATAACACTGCTGAAGGCCCCAGGCACAGAGACAGTAGGAAAAGGAGGGAAGAAAGACAAGGGAAGGAATTCAAAGGAGAAAGGAATAAGACATGAGGAGAAAGAGCAAATAGAATGGGAGACAGCCAATGGAAAGAAAAGGATAGAAAGTGCAAGGTAGAAAACAAGGTGCAGGGATGGAATCCAGGAGGTGAGCAGAGGTAGGTGGGATTAAAAGAGAGTAGATGAATATTAGAAAAAATGATGCAGCACAGTGCCTGGCACATAATAATTGCTCAAAAAATGATATGTTGGAAGGTGCCATTGTTATACTATTCACTGTTCTACAGATGAGGAGAATAAAGTTCAGAGAAGTTCAGCAATTTACCCAAGGTTGCACAGCTAAGGTTCAGGCCCATTACTCTCACAGACTATGTTCTCTACAAAGAGCAGAGGAGAAAAGAAGAAAGCAAGGTTGATGGCAAGTTTGGTGTCAGAGAGATCAGCAAATGAGTTGGCCCAGAGTCCCTGTCTCTTTATTTTGGCATCAGTTTCCCCATTAGTACCTTGAGGAGGTTAGCAGTAACAGATGGTTTTTAACTGGAGGGGTACTGTTACCTTAGTGTGTGTGGGCAGTTTGAGTTGTCACAGTGACTAGGCTCCTATTTGGAAGACCCTGATGCTGGGAGTGATTGAAGGCAGGAGGAGAAGGGGACAACAGAGGAAGAGATGGTCCGATGGCATCACCAACTCAATGGACATAAGCTTGAGTATGCTCCAGGAGTTGGTGATGGACAGGGAAGCCTGGCATACTGCAGTCCATGGGGTCAGCAAATAATCAAACATGACTGAGTGATTGAACTGAACTAAACTGAGGCAGGTACCAGGGATGTTAAACATATTCCAACATGCAAAAATGTACTACACAATGAAAAACCATTCCTCAGGAAAAGTCAACCCCCATTGAGAAGCATTGGTTTAGATGATTCTAGGGATTTTAAGAGCTCTAACATAGTCAGTTCCTATAAGAGGAAGGGGACCTGATATTTCAGGAGCCCTGGGGCTTCATGGAGGGTCCTGACTCTGTGTGGAATCCTATAGTACCTTTTGATGAGGTACATGGAAGTGAACTAGAAAGCTGAGGTAGGGTGCCACAGAGGTGGAAGAGGAAATGAAGATTTATAAAATAGCCAATGATCACCTTACAAAGGTTCAAAGGTCTTTGGGCTCTGGATGGGGTAGGTGCCCAATAGTTGATTTAATCACTGGAGCACAGGAAGAGAAGAACAGGAAAAGGGCTTTTTAAGTCCTGACCCAGAAGATGGCATCATAGATACCTCTTTGGATATCTGGAAACCATAAAGCAGGTTGTGCCAAAAGCTCAATGGTTATTCTTAGCTTCTGGCTACCAGGGCTGGCTGAGTTGGAAGAGGGCAGCTGGGGACACTTATTTTCCCCCATATGGCATTGCTGTAATGGGAGGAACCACTGGCCTGTAGATTTTATTTTAAGGTTCTTCTGGGTTAGAGGGCTGGAAGAGAGGAAAGGTCAATTCATTCCCTGACTAAAGGGGTTCTCTATGGTGAGAAACCAGAGATCAAATTGCCAACATTCAGTGGATCATAGAGAAAGCAAGGTAATTCTAGAAAAACATCTACTACTGTTTCACTGACTATGCTAAAGCCTTTGACTATGTGGACCACAACAAACTGCAGACAATTCTTAAAGAAATGGGAATACCAGACTATCTTACCTGTCTCTTGAGAAACCTGCATGCAAGTCAAGAAACAACAGTTAGAGCCAGACATGGAACTGCAGACTGATTAAAAATTGGGAAAAGAATATAACAAGGCTATATATAATCACCGTGCTTATTTAACTTATATCCAGAGTACATCATTCAAAATGCCAATCTGAATGAATCACAAACTGGAATCAAGATTGCTGGGAGAAATATCAACAACCTAAGATATGCAAATGATGCCACTCTAATGGCAGGAAGTAAAGAGGAACTAAAGAGCTTCTTGATGAAGGTGAAAGAGGAGAGTGAAAAAGCTGGCTTAGAACTCAACATTCAAAAAACTAAGATCATGGCATCTGGTCCCATCACTTCATGGCAAGTAGAAGGGGAAAAGGTAGAAGCAGTGTGACAGACTTTATTTTCTTGGGCTCCAAAATCACTGCAGATGGTGACTGCAGCCATGAAATTAAAAGATGATGTTCCTTGGAAGGAAAGCTATGACAAACCTAGACAGTGTATTAAAAGCAGAGATATCACTTTGCCAACAAATGTCTGTTTAGTCAAAGCTCTCATTTTTCCAGTAGTCATGTACGGATGTGAGAGTTGGACCGTAAAGAAGGCTGAGCACTGAAGAATTGATGCTTTTGAATTGTGGTGTGGGAGAAGACTCTTGAGAGTCCCTTGGGCTACAAGGAGATAAAACCAATCAATCTTAAAGTAAATCAATCCTGAATATTCATTGGAAGGACTCAAGCTGAAATTCTAATACTTTGGCCACCTGAAGTGAAGACCTGATTCACTGGAAAAGATCCAGACGCTGGGAAAGACTGAAGGCAAAGAAGAAGGGGGCAGCAGAAGATGAGATGGTTAGATAGCATTCAATGGACATGAATTTGAGCAAACTCCAGGAGATAATGAAAGACAAAGGAGTCTGATGTGCTTCAGTCCATGGTGTCACAAGGAGTCACACACGACTCCTGCAACTGAACAACAACATTCACAATAACATGAGGGACCTCAAATAGAGACACAGAAATGATTATCACTGCTAAGAAAAGAGAATATTGGAAGGGTACTTCTTTTTATTTCTTGCCCATTGTGAGCCAGACATTTCACATCCATTAGCTCCTATTTTAGTTGTCAAAACAAACCATTGAAGGAAGTTTTATTTTATTAACAGCTGAGGAAACTGTTAATCAGAGAATGATGTAGGAAATAATACAACAGAGGTTTCAGTTAAGAAAAGTATACTAAAATTTGAGCTCTTGGCTAAATTTATGAAGGATAAATAGAGCTGGTGGACAGGGTAAGTATTAACTAAACTCATTTTTAAGAAGAAGGAACTGGCTGGGCCAAGGTCACATGCCAGAAAATGGTGGAGTTGCTCTTCTTCATCACTTACCACCAGGAGGCAGTATAAAAGCTGGGAGTTACACAGTCATACTTTGAATTCTGTTGCCAACATGCACTATTTAACATTGCTGGATGAATCGCTATTTTGTTGAGCCTAATTTCCCCCATCCATTAAAAAAATATTTTAAATCAAGTTATGATAACTTGATTTCACCATTAAAATGTGGGCTCAATGAGAAAGAATTAGGAAAATATCTAGTGTAGTCCTGGCACATAGGAGTTTCTCAACAAAAAGGTGACTGGCAGTAGCTTTTGGTGGTAGCAAAGGGACCAAGGGAGCTTCAGCCTTCAGATCTAGAGTGTTTCTGTTCACTCCTTATGTTGCCCAGAATGAAGGAGAAGGACCCTGTTATGAGGGTCTGAGATAAGCTAAAAGCAGGTCAGAAGCACTGCCAAATTACCAGGATTGTGTCTTGATCAGGAAACATGATGCCCTTCCCCCCTTCCCTCCTATCAGTTGGCCTTTCAGCTGGGCAAAGCCACTTTAGACTGAGTAGGTTGGCTAGGCCTCTACTGCCTCATGTAAAGATCAAATGAAATAACTCTCACCATTACTTCCATTACCATCATCGCCACAAACCAGGTCTGTGTCTATGTGATTTCTGGGCCCACAAGCACTTACTCATTGAAAACCAGGTCAGGGGCAAAGTAGAGCATCCTGGAGTTGACATTGGTGAAGGACCGCCAGCCCATGGCAAACACCATAAGCCCCATCCAGGAGTACTGAATGACTGCCATCTGGTCGTCCACGTGCAAGTTGCGGAAGCCTAGAGATAGGACAGAGGCAATGGTCAGACTGAGCACTGATGGTCTAAGTGAAGTCTGGGACTCTGCTGGGCTGAGAATTTCTGGTACTGCGGCTGCCCCTGAGGAGACCCAGGAACCATCAATGCTGGGGAGTAAAAGGAGAACAGATTATATGGTGGGGATAATTATTTGTGCTCCCTAATTCATTAAGCTGCTCAAAAGACATGGTAATGGAGGCAAAAAGTGCACTGCCCACTGGAAGAGAATAATAATCTAACACTGACTGCTTACAATGAATTAACTTTATTATAAGTATATTACTTATATTAATTCATTTAATACTCACAACAATCCAATAAAGTGTATATTTTCGTGCCCAGTTTGTGAATCAGTAAAAGTGAGTCACAGAAAAGTTAAAGAATTTGTCCAAGATCATAAGGCTAGTAACTGGCAGATCAAGTTCCAAAGCCGGTCTGATTCCAAACCCCATGCTCTTGATCTTCAGAAAGGCTCACTGACTTTCTGAAGATGCAGTGTAATAATCATTTTTTCTCACATGAACAGCATTTTTCATTTTACAAAGCTCTTTTCTAGCTATAATCTTGTTTGTACACTCTAACAACCCTGGAAAAGGGATACTATTACATAATAGCATATGGTGAAATGCCTTTGACAGCCATGCCTTCTCCTTCTTCACCTTCAGGCTTCATCTCTTTTCTCCAATCCTTTTCCTGTCTCCCACTTCCTCTCCATTATTTTCTATTCAACAAGTACTTGGCACTGCTAGTTTCCTACCCTACTGCCATTTCTGCCAACTACCATTATGTACACACAAACAGGCTCTTTATGACCCACCTTCTTAGACTAACTTTTTATCATTTATCTTCTCTTAATTTAGGTACTAGCTATTCTGAAAAACCCACAATTTGCTGGACACATATACTTCATGCCTCTAAATCTCTGCTATCTCTGCATAGGCAGTTGTCTTTCCCTAGAATGTATTCTTCCCTTTCCACACTTTCCATCTGATAAATGCCTACTCATCTTTCAAGTATTCACTGGAAGGCTACCTTCTCTGTGAAGCCTCTTCCAACACATCCAAGCAGAAGACCTATTGATTCTTCTTTTACCATCTTATTGAATCTTAAGTAGTTCCATCTAATTATAGCACTCATTACACTGCACTGGAATTTATTCATGCACATATCTGTCTACTCCACAAGACTTAGAGTTTCTTGACAACAAGGACCATCCCCTTTTTTCATTTTTTCCTCCCTAGTATATAATACAGCTCAGGTATTTGAGTAGGAGTTTGAGAAATATTAATTAAACATATTAAGGACTCATTTTTTTTTCATTTTATAAAATGAGAATTAGATGATCTTCAAATTGCTTCCCTTAAACTCAGAGAACAGAGGTTCCCAAATGCTGCCTCCACAAATAGGTTCTACATAGATAGAACAGATATGGCTCTGCTCTCTGGAGGTTTCCAAACAGTTGGATACTTAGAGTATCACCTCAGAGCTTATCCCTTAACAGTACCCCATTTATCTTCTCCCTAACAGATCCAGAATTATGAAAATTGTGTCCTTCTATACCTCATTATAAATGTTTCTAACTTTCCTGATGATGACCTCATTTAGCGCTCACAATTACCCTGGAGTGTGGGCAATGTGACACCTATTTTGCAAATAAGGAAACCGAGAGCCAGAAAAGTCACAGCTCAAAACTACCAAAGTCACAAGTTTTTCTTAGCCATAGGGTCAGGTCGGAAATCTATGCTATCTAGATACATTGTTCTGTTTGGTTGGTACTTGCCACACACACACTATATTTCCCTTTTTTGTTTCCTTTAGGTCCCAAGTCTACCAGACATCAGGGATGCTAGAGTTCCTCATATCACCACCCTTGACTGCAATCTTACCTCCCAGTCATGTGCCTCCTACCATCACTGGTAGTGATATGCTAACAGACTGGTTGCAGCCTCAGACACCAGAGTATTTCCTGCCTGAAGCCCTTTTGTAGAACAGAATGTCTGGGATGGACTCTTTCCAGTAGGAGACAAAAAGCCAGGGTCAAGCACATAACATCCAAGAATCTCTTTGGGAGGGGTCCAGGAGCTTGAACCTTGAACCTCTGGGGTGGGTGGCAGTGGGAATCAAAGAGAGCCTTGGATGGTGACAGTGTGAATATGAGGGTTCATGGAGGTATGAGGATTAAACTGTACTAGTACCAAGGAAGTCATCAATACTAATGATTTTTTTCCTTCACTGAGATGTCAGAGAACTAACACAGGAGAAAAATGGGATAGCTTAGTTTGGCTTAATACTAGTTAATGATCCTTAGTGAGAGCTGCTTAGAACTCAAACCTAATTACTATGTACACATCAGCAACAGAGCAGGCTAAGTTTCCTATAGGTCTAATCTCATTATAATACCTAACTCTGTTCTCCAATGTCCAGCCTTTGAAAAGTCCTGCTCAGATAGTATGCTGTCAAGGCATGAGTTGAGGAAACACTAGCTTCAGCCTACAGGTTTCCTTCAACATACATTCACTCAACTCCTATTTGGCACTGCATCAGGCTCTTTTGGAAAAACAGAGAGAAGTCATTTTCAAGTTTTGAAACACACCAAACAGGTTAGGGAGCAGAAGCAGTTTCTTGGAGACTCTGTTTTCTCAGGAGAATCCAATCAACATCACTTCTTAGCAATCTTGAGCAGAAACCTCTGGAAGAACATGCCTAAAGAAAGGTCAATTAGGAAATCTTTGCAGCTTTAGTGCACCTGACAGCCAAGTTCTTCAAAGAAGGCAATTCATCTTTGGGACCTATGAATGTACTTCTAGGCAAAGTTAGTGGCAGTTTAAAATGATTTTAGTGGTTTAGTTCTCAACCTTTATAATAATGACCCACTATTTACAGAGACTCTTCTATCTTCCAGCTATTGTACTCTTCACACATAATTTTTATGTTGATAACAATCTGCAAGGTAGCAACTGCCCTACCACCTCTACAAGCAAGGAAATGGAAGTATGTGCAGACATGTGATTTGCTCAAAGTCATGCTAGTGTATAACTAAGATGCCAAGCCAGATACATCTGATTATAAATATACTGCATACATACAATCTACTCACTCTCTCTCAATAGTTATAATTTATTAATGTGCTGGTGCCATACAAGGCAATTTACATGTACTATCATTATCAAAGAAAACTTCACAACAAAATTTATATGAGTAGGTACCAGCACAGTACCTCTCAAAGGACAAGAACTCAGTCTGTTCAATGAGCAAATAACTTGAATTAGTAGGTGATTATTGATAACATGAATAACAGTTCTAATGAATGTGGTACTCGGCTTTCTTTTGAGGCTATTCTTTTAAATGATTCAGGATCAGGGACCATTTCCTTGGACAAGCTGGATGGTGAACTGATATTAACTCGCAGACTTGTTAATGTAAGGAAACAGCTTCTCATCCTGGAGGTTGGGCTGAGGAAATCCAGTGACTCCAAGTTACACAAATTCTGTCATAATGATTTGTACTACGTTATTGCCAAGACTGGAAATCAGAGGGTGTGAGTTCAACTTATGGTTGTATTTGTTAAGTCCCCAAATTGAACAAGTTAATTTACCACTTTGAACCTTGTCATATGAAATGGGAGTAAAAGCCCCTATGGTTCATAGAACTGCTATAAGGTTAAGTGGAATCATATGTAAGAAAAAGTTCTGTAGCCTATAAAATGGGACAATTAGGTGTCTGGCAACTGCTTGGAAAGATTAAACTGAATCTCTGTTCAGTTCAGCTCAGTTCAGTCTGCTCAGTCATGTCTGACTCTTTGCAACCCCATGGACTGCAGCACACCAGGCCTCCCTGTCCATCACCAACTCCTGGAGTTTACTCAAACTCATGTCCATTGAGTCGGTGATGCCATCCAACCATTTCATCCTCTGTCGTCCCCTTCTCTTCCCACCTTCAATCTTTCCCAGCATCAGGGTCTTTTCAAATAAGTCAGTTCTTCCCAACAGGTGGCCAAAATATTGTCTAACAGAATCTCTGTTAGACATATAACATCAAGACACTCAGCTGAATAACTGATAAGAATTAAAGTAACTTTTAATTTTATTATTATTATTATTATTTTTGTATTTTTCTTCCCTGTGTGAATGCTGTTTTTGGCACAGTGCATACACAGTGTCCTTGGGCCTTCTTCCCAGGGATTTTATTGGCTAGTCAACCTCAGATTTCCAAGCTAAGAAGATGTTAGGGAAAATCTGGTGGTTGTATCTGGGCCTTGTGAATTGGAAAGAGAAAAAAGGAGCTTGACAGTCAACTTGAAATGTCTTCCATGTCATGACACAACTGGCTTTGGATAACTTGGTCACTCATTGTAAAACCCAAGGCTAGAGATCTACAAGGGTGCTACACAGACTATGGGGTAGAATTCGATGAGGAGGGAATTTGGAGTTAGGAGGGGACCTGGGCTCAAGTTCAGGCCCTGCTATCTTCTGAATGTGCAACTGTAGGGCAAACATCAACTCTCAGAGCTTCATTCTTTATCTATAAAATAGGGAAAAGAATCCCTACTTTAAAGACTTCTTATGAGGATCAAATCAGGTCACACATATGAAACTGCTCTGTTCAATAGAAATTTCCAGTTGATTGGCAGTTATTATTAAAAGGCAGGTTAATCTTTGATTCTACAAGAAGAGATTTGGTTGTTGATGATTCAGAAGACTCTTTCAATCATGGAAGTTTAGGATTAAGAGAATCCTTAAAGAGTTTATGCTTCACTTGTTTCCACATTGTGTTCCCTAGAGCCCTAAGATTCTGCAAGAGTCATCTGAGGCTTCTCCAGGCGGAGTGAGGGAGAGGCACTGGCTCTAAATCAACCAGCTCCACTTGGATGTGTACCATGTTTTTGAGAAATAAAGAGTTTGGCTGCTAAAGGAACATTTGTGAATCATTGGATGTGATGTGAGGCATATGGGGTAGAGGATCTCTGAGGCTTCTTTAAACTCTAATATTTGAATAATTATTTCTTTTCAAACAACAGATGGTCAAGGGAGGAAGTGAGTTCCTCATCACTGGAGGTAAACTTGCAGGAGTTAGACAAACACTTCATATTTCTTTCACTATCACTTAACATACCCTTCCACTATGATGATCCTATTTTGTTAAGGATTAATAAAATCCTTATTTTATATATATTTTTTCTTTTTTGGTCACACCGTGCAGCCTGTGGGACCTTAGTTCCTCAACCAGGGATTGAACCCATGCCCTCAGTGAAAGCACAGAGTCTTAACCACTGGACTTCCAGGGAATTCCCCAAGATAGTTTTAAGAGCACTTATCAGGGAATTCCCTTGAAGTAAACCTGGAAAACTATTAACAGAGTCCAAACCACTTTTCACACATTATACATATGGAAAAACAGACCAGGAAAGGAAAGGGGTCATATAATGAGTTAACAGCAGAGCTAAGGCTAGAACCCAAGTGTTCTGACTTCCAACCCCATGTTCCTTCTACCATACCATATTATAAGAGTTCCCATGGTATGGGTCCTAACTAATAGTCAAAACAGATTATCAGTTAGGTTCAAGATTATCTTTGGAGTGAACTTGTGTATGCACATGTGGAAGAGCATCTTAAGGAATATAAGGGTATGTCTGTGTGATCCATGATTATGAGGAAATTTGCTGATTAAACCTGTGGGTTGAACATGATTGTTATGTGCTGATGTGAGGCATATGGGATACTCAGTAATGCTGTTCTTCTTGATTTTTGAGTTTCCTTATTTTTAACATGGGGATTTTTACCACTCTTTCCCCTCACAAGGTTATGGTGAGGATTGCATGAGGTAACAGATGGGAAAGGAACAGATGTGGTGCCTGGCCCAAAGGAACATTCACTAAATATGATATCCCATATCCCATGCTCCCACTTACCAGGCAAGGCCTTGGCCCACTTGACCACATGTACAAGCTGTCTTTCGCCCAGTTCATTGAGGCTAGAGAGTAAAGCTGCGAAGGAGTCAGGCTGGTTGTTGTCATGTCCAGCACACACCACCCCTGGCTCAATGGCTTCCAGGACATTCAGAAAGATGGGCTGACACTCATAGCCTTCAATATGTGACACTGTCAGCTTCTGGGCTGGTTCCTCAGTGGGGCTGGTGGCACTGGAAGCCTCCCCTTCCTCCTGTAGCTTCAGATTCCCAAGTTTCTTCAGTTTCCGGGCTATTGGGAAAGAAGGGAAAGTTGGATTTATTATCAGTGGCAAAAAACACACAGCACAGCTACCCTGTTAGAAAAGCTGCTTGAGCTAAGAAAACAAGTATGATCATTTTTCCTGATCACAGACTCTAAACTCCTCAAGGACAAGTGTACATTTTAACCACTGGTTGAATGAATGGTTCATCAATTCTAAATTCCTACTAAACTCAAACCTTCATATCTTACTTTCTCCTTTATCTTCTTGCCAGACATACCTAGTATATCTTTGGATTGGGCTCTGCCTAAATACAGTCTCCAGTATTCATACTTTGAATCTTTAATTAAATCATTACTAATATATTCATGGTTCACTCATTCATTCAACAGATGTCCATTGTTAAGGCTTACTTCTGAGTGACAAAAAGAACACAGGCCCTAACCAGTTTGGGAGAGGAAAAATAAATGTCCACTAAAAAATCTAGCAGTTAGAAAATGTCAAACTGGTGAATGTTATAACACGGGTATTAACAAAAGAGGAAGGCAACAATCTTTCTGCATAGGGGGGTCAGGAAATGATTGTGGTGATATTTGATCTGGACCTTGAAGAATAGCAAGGACTTCACCAGGCAGAGAGGGATGGAAAGGGCATAAACAAAAGCACTGAGAGTTTAAGGGAAAAAGAGACCAGTGTGGCTGGAGTGTATATTTTATGTGTGGGTAGAATGGCTATTTATGAGGTTGAAAATAATGATGGCATTTGACTTTGAAGGAACATGTGTAACATATTAAGAAATTTGGGCCTTATCACACATGTGATAGGCAAATATGGAACGTTTTAAATCAAGAGAATGATGTACTGTGTCTATGTCCAGCATGTCTAGCAGATTGCTAGGAAAGGAGACCAGAAAGGCAGATCTATTGAAGGACTAGACTTGTTATATCATCCCACTTTGGGGTAAATAAATGGGAATTTTCTGGTGTTGCAGCATTTCTCACTTCAACTGTAACGGCCTAAGTTATTGTTAGATATTTACACTCATAGTTGAACATACATTGCAACACATATATTGATTTTCTTCTTTAGTAAAGGAGAGAGGGGGAAGCTGAACTCTGAAATCCCCAGCTGTATCAAAGACATAACAGAATGTCCCTGCCCTTATAATCTGCCTGTAAAATGGGAACTGTGCTAGGAAGCATCCATTAAAAAGGATGATATCAATAGAAATAACATTATTTTAAAAAGCAACAATAATCTAAAACTAAAGTCTTAAGAACTATCCCCCTCCATGCTCTCATACACATAATTTAGAGGTCCTTGAGTATCCTGATGTTTAGTTTGTGCTATTTTCATTAGCATTTATATTGACAGAAATATAAATAATTGAAAAGGTCATAACTCTGATGTCTAGCATAGACAGTTGCACTGGGGCAGACCATAAACTACTTTATCTCTAATCCCTTTAAATAATAATAATAAATTTTAAAAGGTATACAACAAAGAGAGCCGCTGATTGCTCAATTTTATTGGATGAATACAACAAAACCTGTTGCTGATCTGTTTCTGGCTCCTGCAAAAAAAAAAGATACTTAGCTGGAACTGGCTTTCAGCTTTAATTAGAAAAATAAGTCTTGCAACGCAAACTTCAATCATAGTGCAACTCAGTAAATCAATGAAAGAATGAATCACATGTTTGGATTAACAACCAGGATAGAGGAGAAGAAAATAGAGGGGTTGGTGCTACAAGAGGAGCACAGTGAAGAACTCAGGGTAAAATAACAAGGGAGCCTGGAAAATCAACACAGAGTTCAAGATGACCTTGTCCAACAATCATTTCTGCAAGGCTTGGGCACAGTCAGTAATAAGGAGATATGCACACCCACTGTCAACTCCCACCTCCCATCAAGGGCACAAGCTAGAAGGTATGGGCAGGACTAAGCTCATCTTGCCCCAGAGCTAGAGGCCTGGCTCCCACAAAATCTTGTCATTTGGTGAAACCACTGTTGACACAGGTTCATGCAGGCAGCTCTACAGACTAGCGTGCTTACTGGATCTGCTCCTCTAGTAGAGTTTCTAGAGGTAGACACTCTTTTCCCCATCACTGGCACTTTTTGACTGTGGGCTTAGAAGTTGCCAAGCCATAGTTCCCCTTTCAGCCTGGTAGAGGACAGATATAATTAGCTCTATGCTTGAGCGAACTAAGAGGTATAAGGGTAAGTACTTTTTCTCAGCCTTCTATATACCTTGCTTCATGAACATATTATATCATTTAACTCCACAATGATCTTAGGAGGTGAGAAATATTTCCTATCTCTGTTTTGCAAGTGAGTAAACTGAGGTAACACAACTATCAAGAAACAGAATCTAAAAATCTTAATGTAGTCTGACTGTAAAGCCAATGTTCTTTCTACTATATAATACTGCCTCCCCCAAGGAGCCTTAAACTCTACTTCTGGCCTAATAGAGTTGAGGAGTGGGACTAGGGTTATATCCTCCCTACCTTCCTCCCTCACCCTTGAATCTAAACTTCAGTAAGTATAATAGCATCAAATCCAGAAAGGAAAAGGTAGAAAGCTATGAGATTCCTCTGGCCGGGTGCCTAAAGCAGAAATAGGTTTGGGGAACTATAGTGACTGGAACTATAGTGGCTTAGTGATTCGTAAAATCACAAAATAGGAAAGGTCCTTAGAACTCATTCACATCCAAGGGGTTCACAGAATGTGAGCTTTCAGTGTCTACACATATAATACAGTGTGTATGTGTGTTTCTCTCTCTCTGGGAATGTGTTTATAGGAGAATGGTGGGAACTCTGGTGAACTAAAGTGAATGCTTGACCACCATCCAGCCCCTATAATACATGTCACATATACATACATATACACATACTGTTAGAAGGCATTCATATATTTACAAATTTTCCTAAAACTCATCTGTATCCCAAAGTTAAATTCAAGCCATAGCCTTTATTTGGGACATCTGCTGCTAATCCAACATTTCACGTCAAGGATGGGGAGGCTGAGGCCAGAGTGAGGTCACCAAGTGGCAGAGCAGAGGCTCTTATTCCTAATCAAGAGTTCTCTGTGCTTTATCAGTTCTTTTTTTTGACTAAGTCATTTCTACTATATCTCAGTACCTGCCTCTCTGAGCTCCTTTTAGATTTGCAATGTCCAACACAGCAGCCGCTAGACACATGTGGCTACTTAAATGAATTAAAATAAAATAAAACTTGAAACATAATTCCTTAATCTCACTTAGTCAGTTCAGCCACTCAGTCCTGTCCGACTCTTTGCAACCTCATGAACTGCAGCACACCAGGCTACGCTGTCCATCACCAACTTCCGGAGTTTGCTCAAACTCATTTCCATTGAGTCGGTGAGGCCATCCAACCATCTCATCCTCTGTCGTCCCCTTCTCCTTCCACCTTCAATCTTTCCCAGCATCAGGGTCTTTTCAAATGAGTCAGTTCTTCCCTCTAGGTGCCCAAAGTATTGGAGTTTCAGCTTCAGCATCAGTCCTTCCAAAGAATATTCAGGACTGAGTTCCTTTAGAATGGACTGGTTGGATCTCCTTGCAGTCCAAAGAACTCTCAAGAGTCTTCTCAAACACCATAATTCAAAAACATCAATTCTTTGGCACTCAACTTTCTTTATGGTCCAACTCTCACAACCATACATGACTACTAGATGGACATTTGTTGACAAAGTAATGTCTCTGCTTTTTAATATGCTGTCTAGGTTGGTTATAACTTTTCTTCCAAGGAGCAAGCGTTTTTTAATTTCATGGCTGCAGTCACCATCTGCAGTGATTTTTGAGCCCCCCACACAAAAAAATAAAGTATCGCACTGTTTCCATTGTTTCCTTATCTATTTGCCATGAAGTGATGGGACCATATGCCATGATCTTAGTTTTCTGAATGTTGAGTTTTAAGCCAACTTTTTCACTCTCTTCCTTCACTTTCATCAAGAGGCTCTTTAGTTCTTCTTCACTTTCTGTCATAAGGGTGGTGTCATCTGCATATCTCAGGTTATTGATATTTCTCCTGGCATTCCTGATTCCAACTTGTGCTTTATTCGGCCCAGCGTTTCTCATGATGTGCTCTGCATATAAGTTAAATAAGCAGGGTGACAATATACAGCCTTGACATACTCCATTCCCTATTTGGAACCAGTCTGTTGTTCCATGTCCAGCTCTAACTGTTGCTTCCTGACCTGCATACAGATTTCTCAGGAGACAGGTAAGGTGGTCTGGTATTCCCATCTCTTGAAGAATTTTCCTCAGTTTTTTGTTATCCACACAGTCAAAGGCTTTGGCATAGTCAATAAAGCAGAAGCAGATGCTTTTCTGGACCTTTCTTGCTTTTTTGATGATCCAGCAGATGTTGGCAATTTGATCTCTGGTTCCTCTTCTTTTTCTAAATCCAGCTTGAACATCTGGAAGTTCTCGGTTCACATGCTGTTGAAGCCTGGCTTGGAGAATTTTGAGCATTACTTTACTAGCATGTGAGATGAGTACAATTGTGCGGTAGTTTGAGCATTCTTTGGCATTGCTTTTTTTGGGACTAGAATGAAAACTGATCTTTCCCAGTCCTGTGGCCACTGCTGAGTTTTCCAAAATTTTTGGCATATTTAGTGCAGCACTTTCACAGCATCATCTTTCAGGATTTGAAATAGCTCAACTGGAATTCCATCACCTCCAGTAGCTTTGTTTGTAGTGATGCTTCCTAAGGCCCACTTGACTTCACATTCCAGGATGTCTGGCTCTAGGTGAGTGATCGTACCATCATAATTATCTGGGTCTTGAAGATCTTTTTTGTAGAGTTCTTCTGTGTATTCTTGCCACCTCTTCTCAATATCTTCTGCTTCTGTTAGGTCCATATAATTTCTGTCCTTACTGAGCCCATCTTTGTATAAAATGTTCCCTTGGTATTGAGGCCATCTTTGTATGAAATGTTCCCTTGGTATCTCTAATTTTCCTGAAGAGATAGCTAGTCTTTCCCATTCAATTGCTTTCCTCTATTTCTTTGGGT